TATGGAATCAGTCAAATTGACTTTTTCCTCAAATGTGTAGGTATTTGTACCAGAATTTACATTTTACTAAAATTACTGATTTAAAAGGGGTAACTAAACGAAGTTATGAGGTTTTTGGGGTAACAGGGAAACTACCGGCATGGCAGAGCAGAAGAGTCTCTCCTGTACTCTGAAGGCGATATATTGTTGCTGTGAAGTATTCTGAGTCGGCGGAAAGTCGGTAAACATTATAATCGTGGCTCTTACAAGGTGCTTCAAAAAGTCACCACGATTTGGACCACCCTGTATAATTGAACGCTCGAACTCCACTTCTTTATGACCAGCTGGTTGACCATATTGTTACTGCTTTAATTGCGCATAAAATAGCTCGTTGCTTAGCATAAAAGAGTAAAAAAAAAATCAAAATAGACAAATGAAAAAATAAAAAAGCCAAACAACTGGCTGCAGCGGCCAGTCAACCGTTCACAATAGCAACAGCGACAATCAAATAAAGAAAATCGATATACTACAGCAGTTTATATTGCAGCATCGCCTTGCGGGCAATTGGCGCTATTTTTCATTTGCCAATAAATTTTTGCGCCACAGCCGCGTGGAACCATGGACCACAATGTCACACACACAGCCGAAGGGACGGCATACATATATATGTAGTTTTGTTGCGTGTGGGCGAGTGCATCGCATAAAAATGAAGCAATGAAGTAAGAGTTGTTTTAAATAAAAATGTAAGATATTCTAAATGAAAAGCAATAAAAAGGATAGAAAAAAAGTTATCAGCCAAAAAATAGCCCGCGGCTGCGTGTACGCGCGCGCGCCACAAAAACCCTCAACCGCGAGCACCACCACCAACACCAACACCAACACCATTGCATTCAGCGTCTAATCGCGCCACTATCTATGTCGACGATCGTTGAACAGCCGGCAACCAGCCACGGGTATCTCCCATCGCTCGCCGTGTGCCGCTTTTGATTTTGCAAAATCAATCGATTCGACATTATTATTAATTTTTCATAACTTCCGCGGCTGCGCATCCGATTCGATTTGATGTTACACCGCTGTGTACATGGCAGCAAGGCAGTGTGTTGGCAGCCCTCGCCACTCTACAGCGAGTTGTTAAATGAAGGTGCATTTCCCTTTCGTTTGAGTGCGATATGGAAATTGAAGCTCACTGCTGCCGCCACCGCCACCGCCACCACCACCACGCTGCTATGTTCAATGTAGCCCTTGCTGCTACATTATAGAGCCGCCGTAGCGCTGGTGGACGCCCTCTCCGGTTTGCTCTTTGCAGGCTATGACCATGTGAAACTAATCTATTAAATTTTGTAATAGGCAAATGAAATGGCTGAAAGATGGTGCGGCAATGGATGAGCGCCTTTGATGTTTTGCCGCGCGTCGCAACAAAGTAAGGGGAATGCGTTTGAAAATTGAAAGCGCTTTGATGGATAATGGCGATTTGAATTAATTGTGACTCTGGAGAAAGCAAATGGCTTTGTTAAGGTTTGCAGCGCAATTCTGGCGACTGCATTTGAACTCACCATAGTTTTTTGAAGGACCAAAGTCTTTCGTAAGAAAATTGTCAAATGTGGCAACAGGATGGATGCTCTTTTCTGTCTTTCAAAAAACTAATTAAAAGATTGGCTTTCTAAAAATTTACTGAAATTAAAAAATATATACTTACATCTGTATATTTTTCTTTTAAAGCAATTTAAAAAATATATAAAAAAAATTAAAAAGTTAAACTAAAAAAAGAAAAAAGAAACTTTACATAAAAAATAATAAAATAAGTTTTTCAAAATTTAACGATATTTAAAAAGATATGTTTCTTTTTCAAATAATAAAATATTAGAAATAATAGAATACTAAATTAAAACACAAATAAAATTTCAAAATGTTCCTAAAAATTAAATGTAAAAAAAAATTAAAAGAAAAAATAAACAAAATAACTTATTAAATTAAAAAAATGATTATTTAAAAAAAAGTAAAATCTAAAATTAAAAGAAAATTTAATTAAAAAAAAAAAAATTATGAAAAGAAGAAGAAAAACAACAAAACAATGAAATCTTGAAATTAAATTAAATAAGAAAAAATAAAAAATAAATAAATTTAATACGCATGTATCAAAAAACTAAATTAACTTAAAAAATAATTATATTTTTTATACCGATTTCCTTTCTACCGAAAAATCTACGCACAAACACTAAGAAGAGAAGTCAACATTTTTTGTAGAAACCAAATCGCCTTTACGCCATTACTTTTTAACAGACTTCAAATAAGGAGGAAAGCTATCAAATTCATTGGAATATTTTTCTATTATGTATGTCACCGGATATCTTTGGACCACGTGAACCGTTTTCGATAATTATTATTATTATTTTTTGGTTTATCTTTGGGGAGATCCATGAGTAACCTATATATCTTCAGATTATACCCTCTTAATACGTTTTTTTCCTGACGTAGACCCGTGTTTTCACGCCAGTTCAGTTCTCTCAGTTTGGTATTTTCCTTTACGGTGTTAGGCCCCACTGCAGGGAAGTGCTCAGATCCTAATATATTCGAGGCTGTGGCCGCTTTGGCAAACTGATCACCTACCTCATTTCCATCGACCCCTCTGTACCCTGGTACCCAAATCAGTTGAATATCGTTAGCCTCAGCCAGAGCATTAAGCCTCTCCACACACTCCAAAATCAAAGAGGACTTGATCTCGAATGATGAGAGAGCCTTAAGGGCGGTCTGATTCTCGCTCGCAATGAGTATCTTCTGGCTTTGATTAGAATGTTATTCTCAGCACAGAGACTGATGGCATATACCTCCGTTTGAAAGATGCTAGGAAAGGTTCCCAGGAGCACCGAGAGCTACTACAGTCTGGGGCAATACACGCCTGCTATAATCCCCTCAGTCGTTAGTAAGCACTCTAGTCTGCTCGCCTATATGCGAATCTCCGGAATAGAGGTACTCCAGGTCACTTTGCTAAAAGTGTAAGTCCTTAAGTTTCTTTTATAAACACCACTCTGTTAATATCGTCCCTGGGAACAGAGGCAGGGGAAGCTGTGAACCGAGCTTGTCCCTATTTCTGGATGATAACACCTTGCCTTTGCATACACCAACTCTCGCAAAATTAAGGAGAGTTTGTTTTGCAGCCTGTTGTACTGATGAGGTAGGGGCTCGATTTCCAGAATTACCTCCAGGGGTGCCATAGAATCTTGTTGACGGTCTGTCACACCGTTCCAGAGAGGTCCTGGAAACACAAGCCACCGCGCCAAATATTTACTGCTATTTGTCGCACTAATATGATGCACATAAAACTTAGCATCCTCGGAGTGCGGGATTTGCCCGCTAGACGTTTACACACCATCATCGATTCCGTAGCCTTAGAGATGACCGCCTCAATATGAGCTACATTCATTTGAATACGAACAGTCGCAGAGTTAACATAAAAATTAAGAAAAACGAAATTAGATCAGTCATAAAATAACTCTGCTTAAAAAAGTATACCAAAATCAGCGACACACAGCGACTTGGCGGAAACATTAAGGCACTCTGCTTATCCATATTCTACATTTCCACTGAGGATTAAAATCGCGAAGGACGTCCATCCATCCAAAAGGTCGAAGTAGATGTGTTGGGCGACCGCTGTGATGCGCGCTTCCGTGACGCAAGACCTGAAAAACAGTTTCTCATAAAAATGCAATGGCCAAATAGATTTGTTTTTCAGACAACAGTGCGCCGTTTGGAGTCAGCGTAAAACTGTAGGACCCTCCCTAACGCTAACAAATCGTGTAAGCGCAAAACTATTATATTATTATTAGTTGTGTCGGCAGATCAAAGAGTGATAATCAGGCATATAGCTGAAGTCATAGGGATCTCACATGGCAGCGTTCAAAGTATCCATGTGAACGAATCACTCATAAGAAAGGTCTCTACACTTTAGGTACCGAAATTATTTCCAACGAAGACAACGCGCCGGCTCACAAAGCCACGGTTTTGATGGCTACCGTTCGAGAAATTGGACTCGAACTGTTCGAACACCCACCCTATTCACCAAATCTAGCTTCCAGTGACTTCTACCCCTTTTTCGACTCAAAGAACATCTCCGAGGCACAAAATTTGAAGGCCACAGCCACGTGTTGAGGTATTTTTTGAAGGTTAAGATAAATATTTTATTTCTAAGGGAATTCTGGGTTTGGAAAAAATATGGATTAAGTGCATTGACTTGCTAGTGGACTACGTAGAAAAATATATTATGAGCATTACTCATATAATCTTCAAACTAGGCTACGTCAAACAATTTTATACTGATTCGGGATTCCGAGGTCGGAGAAGTTCCCAAGCTTCAAACCGCTGGCAGAAGCTACACAACTAAACTCAATTCGAAAGTATAAAAAAGTTTGAAGAATATCTCTCCTTCTATTTCAACAAAAGGGAAGACCCAGCATCTTGTGAAATGTGGGTTGTGGAGTTAATGGCCTCTTACACTCAAATCACTCAGCTCACTCAAATACTTCGTACTTGGGTTTGGTTAATATTAATGTCGGCGCTAGATCGTTTTATTGGAAAATCTGTGTAATTCCCTTGGATCACTGGGGAGATCTGCGCGTAGATACTGAAACATCGCGTCATTAACTGTGCCTGGCGCTGTATTTTCATCCAATTTCATTATCCTTTAAAAGAGAAAAATAAAGGTGGGTGCCTATGCTCGCTTTTAAACTGCATGAAATATTTTCTATTAACTGAAAGAACCGTTGAAGCACAAGTTTGTACCTTAAATCCTTCGTTTGCTATGCATGATGATTCAGTATCATTAATTTTTGCAAAAATTTTGAAAATTCGACACAAATAACTTCAAAGTGCTGTACAGTTAAAAACGCCACCGTCATCAAATATCAAATCGTATAGCTTGCGACTTTAATTGGCTGCAAACGTATATATGTATGTATGTATGCACATATTAACCTTTCCAATTTGTTTGAATTTTCATTCAATCTTTTGTACCCTTTTTGCAATAGTGCATATTGCATATAGCCTACAACAGCGCCAACCACAAGAACAACAACAAAACAACCTACCTCAAACCAAAATCACTGCTAAATGTACTCATTTGTTGATTCTACAATTGAGTGGTAAAACAACAGCGTCAATTTTCTGTGTGTTGCGCGCGCCGCTTTGCGCGTTGACCACTAAAAATACAGGCGGCGGCGGTGGTGCGCGCGCAGTCACACTTTGGCGGCCAAGCGCGGCTGAGAAAACAAATGTGCCAGCGAACGCACAAAACAGCTGGAGCCGCAGGGTACACCATCGACAAACGCCACGAATGCGCATTGAACTTAGCGAGCGGTCAGCGAATGACGAAGGTAAAAAAAGGTGGTTCATATAGTTAATATGTAAAGTTTGTTGTGTGCACAATGTGGCAATAGTTTTGTTATACAGATATACATACATACTATGTGAAGTATGCATGCAGAATTTAGTTGCAAGCGAAACACTATTTGCATTTACATATGCATCAGTATGTACGTTGGTGTATGTGTAAGTGCATAAACATTGAAAAAAAAATCAATTTCCTCGATTCGATATTGGAATTTAATCATAATTGTGGCGCTAAATTAAATGCAGCCTGTCAAATAAGTCAGTCAGCTGAGCTCGAGCACTTGCCCTATGCTTGCCACCTGGTGCGTAGGAGGGTGAGCGCGTAGCATTGGTGTTCCCGCTTGCATTGCTGGATGGGAATTGGTGCAATATGAGTTGGACTCGCTGGTGCCAATGTATGTATGTATACCAACTAACCTTGATAACCATTTCAAATTAACATAAAAATGTTTAAAGGCATTATTTGGTTATGCCGCTGGCACAGAGATGCCGTAATTGGGGCAATTATTTAAGTTTCGTTTATCTTCAATAAAGTTTTGAAAGAATTGATATGTTTTTGCTTGGGTTTTAAGAAAATTCTTCAGCAATTATTAACATTAATGACATTGCTTATCGTTATGGTAATGCTAATGGTATTGGTTGGGGTAATGGTAATGGCAGTGGTAATGGTAATGATAATGGTAATGGTAATTGTAATGGTTATGGTTATGATGATGGTAATGCTATTAGTAAGGGTAACGGTTATGGTAATGATAGTGGTAATGATAATGGTAAGAGTAATATTAATTGTAGTGGTTAGGGTTATAGTAAGGGTAATGGTAATACTAATGGTAATTGTAATGAAAAGGGTAATGGTCATTGTGTTAGTGCTAATGGTAATGGTAATATGTAGTAATTATAGTCGTAATGGTAATTGTAATTGTAATGGTAGTGGTTAGGTTTATGGTTATTACTACAGGTATGACTACGATTATGGTTATGGTTATGGCTATAGGGTTGTGATTATGGTTATAGATATGGTTATGGTTATTGTTATGATTGCAGTTATGGTTATGGTTATGGTTATGAATATGGTAAAGGTTATGTTTATTGTTATGGATATCGATATGGTTATGGTTATGGTAAGGGTTATGGTTATGGATATGGTTATGGTATTAAAATTGAAATTTAGTTTTAGTAGTTTTAATTTATTACCAAATCTTTAATCTTTGCTCTGTTTTAATATGGCCCGCTTAAATTAAATTATTTCTTCGAATTTTCCAATATTTTATTTACAAAAAGCTAACGAAAAACTTTAAGAAAAATATATGAATACTTGGTTCTTCTAATCAGCTCCAATTTTGCTACGCGTTTTAAATTAATTTTAATTAAATATTGTCTTCTGCATTTTCATATTACCGAGTATTTAAATAATTGCCTATGCAAAGAAACACGCGCGGCAAAGAACAAAGCAACTGCGCTTGTGCATGCAATGCTGGTCTCACGAACAGCAGCACGCAACAACCGCTTGTGCTGATGAGCACAGAAAACCCCAATAAAAGAATTAACAACAAACTGTCTCATACGTGACGAGACAAAACATTTCCGTTCTTCCGCACGGCGCGCGTTTAGCGAGCCTAAAATGCATAAAATCATTTATTCTTGTCTTCAATATGAAAATTCATTAATACTTAGTGATTTTCAAAGCACTCATTTGGACGCGCGCGAAAGCGTGACGTGCGTTTAAGTAGCTGGAAAATTGTGGTAAAAGCACCTAAGAAAACATTTAGCCACATGCCGCGGTGAACAGACAGACTTTTGTCTTGGCGACACGCGCCATCATGCCGTGCGCTAATGTGTTATGATTTTGGTTTGAACCTTGTTTGTGCCTTTTGTCCCTTACTTTTCCTTTTCTACTAATTTTATTTCTATGCCTTGCTACCTAATTGACTATTAACGCACGCACATTAATTTCAATCGCTATAAACGCGCTGGCATGGTGTCAATTTAGAGAGGTGGGACAGTGGTGCGGAGTAGCGTAGAATAAGCAGACGTTGCGTGAGTCATCAGCGCTTTATTTTATTTTTCACGCATATACACAAATATGTAGCATTAATCAAATGGAAAAAACCCTCCCTACATTTAGAGTTTTCAAGCATTGCTTAATCAAGTTCGTTGCTTAAGTCTTTTGTTCATTAACTGCCAATGCGACGAGATGCCGCCCACGCATTTGCCGGATGCTCTAGCTACCACTATTGCTTTGTGGAGTTCACTTGCGGCAAATTAATGAGCGCTGCATCAACTGAGTGTGGAAATTTATGCGCCATTGCATTAATTGAGAAAAAATTGCGAAATGGGAATCTGAAAAAAAAAATTGATGGTGGAATCAAATTAAGGCCTGCATTCGGCTGATGAAAAGTTATGAAATGCTGCATATTAAGGAGAGTTGTGCAAGTATTGCCAGTGATGGCTATAAAAATGAATGCGTTAATGAAAGGAAACAAACAGAATTAGGGATATACTGTAAATAAAACAACATCAAAGACTTAAGATCTAAGGAGAAAAATTAAACGAATAACAATATCTTTAATTAATCAATTAATCGATAATATTTTCGATGCTACTTTTTCATCGTTATTTTATTATTCATTTCAATGTATAATCGATTAAACATATTATATGCATATGATATCGTACACAATTGTGCCCCTATTATTTTGTCCATATTTATCGAAATAATTGTCAAAATATTTTGCGATATCTTTATCGAAATATTTATCGATACCATTTTCAATATATTTGACGAAATCGTTAAAGACGTAACTCTAAGTTTCCAAGCAACTTTTTTTCTAGTCATCATCCGTAACAGTTACAACTTTTTATTAAAAAAATCGCTCTTTAACAATTGTTGTTTAGTTTTTATTTAAATACTCCTTAAACAACCGCTATTTCTGACTTCCAAAATAACAATTATTTTTGATTTTTATTTAAATAGTGCAAGTAAAAGTTATTTTTGATTTTTAAATTAAATGTCTTAGATAACAGTTATCGAAGACTTCCAATTATAAAAGTCATAAATAAAAATTTAATTTTTAAATCATACTTATAAAAGTCATTTGTATAAGTCGAAGTAAACGTTTGTTTCCCAACACCTTCTTAACTGCGAAAAATCTTATATACGAATGATTTAAAAAATAAAAGTCGGTGACTTTTGAAAGTAAAAGTCACTGACTGATTTTTATTAATGACTTTTATAAATAAAAGTCTTCAATAACTGTTATCTAAAACATAAAATATAAAAATTAAAAATAATTGTTATTTTGGATTTATAATATAAAAATCCAAAATAATTGTTATTTTTTTAATTTTCCCTAAAAATTGCAAATAAAAATTTATTTTCAAATTTGAGTCTCGGAGAAAAAAGAAACCGATTGGTATGTATAACTTAGTTGTAGAACATTTCCTTCATAGTGAATTTTTCCATGACAATTTTCATCAATAACTGTTATGTTCGGTCCCTGTTTTGAACGTAAAAAAAAAATCATACATAAATGAACGTTTATTTTTCATCGAAAAAATAAAAATGAAGCATTACCAATTATTTTCGGTATTTGGGAAAATACAATAAAAATCATAAAATATTTATTAAATAAGTTGCAGAAAATCGAAATCCAATTTTATCGGTTAAGTTATGATAGCTTTCCTACAGGCTGACATACAAACCAGAATAGAGCTTTACTCCAATCAAATCCAAAATTTTGCACATTAATAAGGTCTTATTTTAATGGGGACCGTAGCTATTTATACACAAAAAAAAAAAACATTCGAACATATTGTATGTACATATATATCTGTTATTATCTTGTTGACTGTCCACACTTGGTCTGCACCCCAGCTAGGCTATCATTGAGTACCTCACAGTGACCATAATTAAAATATCCTAATAAAATTCACAGCACGTGCTCGCAGGCGACATCGATATCATCATTGAAATTAATATTACATGTAGCAAGAAACATGCAACACAGCAACAACAACAACAACAAGAAGAACGGCAAACAATTTACATGCAAACATATGTAGGATGCCGCCTCATTCTCGCACAGTTAGACTGACCGTCTGTGGCAAGCAAATATTTAACATGGTTACATACTTATATGCATATGTGCAATGGCTGAGCATACAGAGATACACATGTGCTTTGGCGCATGCGCAACAGGATATGCCATACGAAGATGATCGACCGCCACCATACAGCCGTCGTTGCATTCAACTGCGGCTGGTGCGCAACAAATCTCAANGGCGCATGCGCAACAGGATATGCCATACGAAGATGATCGACCGCCACCATACAGCCGTCGTTGCATTCAACTGCGGCTGGTGCGCAACAAATCTCAACGCCTTGGGGCATGCAAGCAAACTTGTTGCAAGCAGCATATGTATGTATGTATGTATGTTTGTTTGTGTGAGTACAACAGAAAAGCGCCTGCTCAGCGTAGGAAAATAAATAAATAATAAAATTCATTTTAGTGTTGAAAAGGTGTGCGCGCCTAGTGTTGTATATATGTATGTACGTATGTATGTATGTATGTTGTCAGTGTTGTTGAAAGTCTGCAAATGGTGCAAAACGTTTAAATAAATGAAATGTTAATACGCACACAATTTGTGGCCGCCGGGCAATGCAATGGTAAGCCATGTAGTATACATATTCATAAAAATACAGTCGTACATATATATGTATGTATATATAAAAGCTACACATCTGCGCTATGAATACCCTGTGAAGATATTTTCATATTTACACTGATTAGCTGGCCAAATAATGTACATACTAAAATTATGCAGGTGCTGATGTTCTCTAATGGTTGTTGCAATAAAAAAAATTAAACAAAAATATTCCAAGCTTAAAGTTATGCTGCCGTTCTGCTGTTATCCAAGAGGAAGATTTAAAGTTGTTAGGAGTAGAGCAAATAGCTTAACAATAGATTCGGTGATATATTTTTACCTTGGAAGATACTTTTCGGAACAAAGCGCCTTGTATAAGGTGGAAACCTGCTCTGCCAATCTGGCATAAATCATTATGGAACCCTTATCTGGTGACGCTATATAGAGAAGTATAGTATTAGGGAGGTTATGGCTGCCCTATACCCCCGCAAACCAGTTGTAGGAAAAAATGAGGCTCAAAGTTCTACATTATTCCCTGTTTGTTTCAGTGAGCAAACGTACAGCAAAGAATAACGTATGTACGTAATGACCGAAACAGTTTTTCACTCAGCGGATAAGAAGATGGAGTACAAACATGTTCTAAACTAGCAAATACCCGGCATGCTTCACTGCGAATTTTTGTGTTGTTACTCCCTCCCAAAGCTCTTATGGCTTCACTCATAAAAAATTAAATAGATTTGAAGAAATTTATGGAGTGAGATTATCAAACAAATTCTCGATTCTTCAAAAATACTTTATTTTTTTTTATGAATTTGGGTATTAGTTAATATATTTTCGAGGGTATTTAATCTGGAAATTTTATTTATGTATAATCTTATAACTCGATTCTACATATTGCGCACTTTATTCAAATAGGTGGCAACCCGCTACAAAACTAGTCTTCTAAAATATCTTTAATTTGATACCCATATTGCAATATTTTATTTTTCTTATCAATTAAATTAAAATTACAATTTTCAAACAGAAGGCAACCTTCCAAAAAGATATTTTCGGCTGTAAGCCTTCTATCTTTCGACAATCATATTGCAATATTTACTCTATTTTATCAATTCGTATGTGGTATACATTTGATAGTTATAAGCATATACTATGTAC